TTGCCGTTTTCCTACATTTTTTCCCATATTTTTCCTGGTTTTTTCCATTTATTATGAAAACAGCTGGGAAAATTAAAAAAAATCACATTTCTAAAGTACCACTATAGTCAGATTTCATTTCATAAAAAATGCTATCATTGTAAATCGGATCAAAATTGCTAGTAAAATATTGTTCATAGGAAAAAAAATAAACATCATTGTAAAACTAATACATTCCTCACTCCACTGAGACATATTATAAGTAGAGGCTCCTTATCAGTTGTAACCCTTAAATAGGTTTATTACTAAATTATTATAACTATTAAACTTGAAAGAAAAGGACTAAGGATAAGAGAAGTAAAACAGAGTATGTAGATAATTGAGTATGCGTTTAGAGGAACAGGACAAGACCGGTGATAACCGATTGAGCACGGTTGTTATTGGCCGACCTTTTTGACGACCTGATTGAGCACGATAAAATAAATAAATATTGTGTATAATGTTGTCAGATTTTCACTAGTACGTATGTTATGTAGATTACTAATAGGTAACTAACATATTAGTCGTCGAAAAAGATTTTGCTATCGATTGATGGAAAATAATGAAATACAAATTATTTTATCCAAGAGAGGTAGAGTTGGTAAATGTTGAAGCTTTCAAGTACAAGTTTATTGGGTCGGTTTGTGAAGGATTTGTGGGAAGGTGAATTGTTGAAATGGCGATGTACACAAAATGATTGTACAGCAACCTTTTTTATTTAGCTTTTTTTATATATATTCTGTATTAAGGGGGACAAATTTTAATTATAATATATACTAAACAAACTGATCCAGTAAACGCTGTCTTAATATGTAACAATATGTGATTAAAAACCAATAAAAGATTTTTATTTATACATATCTATGTTCAAATATATTTTTTAATAATGATATTCTATGGTACAAAGTGGCAACGTCGCACCTATTTGTGTGCTCAATTGTGTTGGTTTTGGAGGTTTTTGGGTTTCTATTGTTTAACTGCTTCCGTACTCAATCGGATTCCAGCCGATAAGACCATTAACGCAAATAAACGGTGAATTAAGAAATAGGCGAGGTTGAGAATTTTAAGTACCTGTAAGTAGGTTATATTCCTATAGGATCTTTTATACAAAAGAACGGCCATTAAATGGGAGATGGTAAACTCCTACATTGACATAGTGTTAACTCCTACAAGAGATAGTGTTAACTCCTACACTACTTATATAATTTTAAAGTTGTAAAATGTATTTCTAATTTACAGAAATAACCTAGAGGTTATCGAAACTGTCGAGAATTTTCGATACGATGCTTTATATTAATATGTTGACTAAGTCATGATCTGTATATAAGCAATTGAATTGGACAATAGTAGATCTAGGTACTTAACTAATTTGAGGTTATTTAACCAAATTTTATTTAGGATGTTTGGAAGAATATTTTTATACTTGCAGGTGAACTTTGTTAGAAGGTTAGTCCCAGTGAGAGGTCCAAAGGTTGGTTATGTGGAGCTGTAAAATACAATTGGGGTGAAATCGGTACGAGAAAGTTGAGTAAGAGCAGGCCAAAATAAATTGGACGTGGATTTAGCTAGGTTATCCTAAACTTCATTTTCGTGTACTTCAATATGACTAGGAACTCAAAGAAATTGAATATTTTATTGATGAAGTTTGAGTACGCTTGATTTGATATGAAGTACTGGGGAGATAAATGGGAGTTAACAGCATTGGAATTGATAGATTGTAAATATGACATACAATCAGAACCTATTAAGTATTTATTTGGAGCAAGGTTGGAAATAATACGTGTTAGTGTTTTGAGAATAGCATAGTATTCCGCTGTGAAGGAAGAAGATAAAGGAGGGGGGGGACAGACTGTTCGTGAAAGAGAAATGAAATTCAGGAATCTAAAACAAAATAGTATATAATACATACGTATATTTAAGTATATTTATTGAATTTATTTATGGAATTTTTAAAATATTTGATTATTGTCTATATACATTATAAACGTGTGTTGATGTGGCGGCGCAATCTTTATACCACATATTCTTATGCGAGACACCAAACAATTATTTGACCCCTCCTGAATGGTTGTATTCACATATTTATTGATTAAAGAACCCACGTCCTCCCCCTACAACATATATATTTATATCGTTAAATATACCGAGCTAATTTTTAAACCAGTAATGAAATCATTTACTACCCTTTCTTCTAATCATTTTTCCACGCCACCAACACCTTTTCCAGCGTAAACTAATATATATATATATACTTAGTTTTATCATTTAACATTCAAATAGTATACCCTTTTTTGACATGTATTTTTTTGACATTTTTGTGACATGTATTGTCATAGATTTGAACGGCTTCTGAATTTTACCATTGACTTATCGTTTGTAAGTTCTTGATTAAGCTTTTTAAATGTTTGCAATCATTCACCTAATTGTTCAATAATTTAATATTTTGTTTTTAATTTATTATTTTATTAATAATATTATCTTCACCGAGCTTTGAACAGTGGCATTGCTTTACAGAACAGTAGCATATAAGTACAGGAAACCTTCGGCTATTGAGACGACGAAAACGATACTGATCCGAATTTAAAACCAACAGTCCCCGGATCCACTCCGACATCAACTATATTACGGCAATCAATTTATAAATATTCAGACCGAACATTTATAAATTGTTTAATTGTAACTATTTTATTATTTATAATTGTATAAACGAATTATTTAATTTTTTTTTTTTACTGTACGAGACTTTTCATAATGTTATTTAATCGTTTCATGTATATTGTTTATTTATTAATCTTTTCGACCGTGATAGAGGGGTTTCCATTTCTTAAGCTTAACAAATCTGACGGTTATTATATGTGTGCGAAACCAGAATGTGACGAAATGAAGAAGTATTATACGAATCTAAACTAAAAGCGGACCGTAAGTTTAATTACTATGAAGGAAATGGATACCCCTGCTGTTATTTAAAAAAATGATATACCTACGATAATTAAGATATTATACAATTGAGATTGGAAATAAAATTGTTATTATAATTAAATATTTGTTAAAACTCGAACTCGTTAATATTAAATTAATGAAAAAATTCTATGAATTGTATTTTGCTATGTAAACTGCTATGTTGTGATACTTACAGAGTAATTAAAGTCTCCCTTTTTTAAGTAATAATTAAGTAAGTAATTATCTTTTTCTGGTAATAAATTTGGAAGGTATTTTTTATTGGACCTGATTGTACTACATGTAAGTATATTTTTTTTTTTAAATTAGGAAAAAGTGGATGACTTGCAAAGTAGTGTCAATGTATAAAATATGATTTTTCCTTCTAAACCAGTAATGAGATTATAAGATTTTTGAAAACATTCGTATAATTGTTCAATAAGTGGCCAAGCTTATACAATTTATCAAAATCAAGATCCTTGTTTAGGTTCTAATGAACTATTATCACAGTGTTTATTAAGTAAAATTATCCAAACTTATGAACTTTCATTTGTTTGAGATATGTGGGTCGTTCAAATTTGGTGCAGTACTCCAAAAATCTATGTATGATGGTAAGCTAATTAAAATATTTAAGCCTCAAAATGTTTTTAATTCTTTTTTAGTAGCAGGTGTATATAGTTTTTAAGATTGTTGGACATATATATTTGTTTGAGATAAAATTATATCAATGAGATAATCTGGAAACAATTCTAGAAATAAATTACAAGAGGTTTTAGTTTTCCATTGTTAGTATATGAGGTGATCAATTTGAATCTGATAAAAACACAAGATTTGTAAAAATTTCCGTATTTTTGTCCCACTGGGGTTCATAAATTATGTCTTTATTATTATATGAAAGTAAGTCTGTATGTGTATTGTTATGAAATGTTAATATTTTTTTATATTTGTCTTGTTTTTGTTGGCAGAATAGGAATAGACAATTCATCCTCTAACTCACTATTAGAGCTAGTAAGACTAATAACTAAAGAAACTGTACTGAGAATTGGTCACTGAAGGAGGAATAGGTATAAAGTCTGGATAGGTATCCGAGTCATCAATAAAATTATTTAGTGTTATATAAGTAGGCATATTTAAATCAAACCGTTAAATGCAGAATTTGTATGATAATTTACATTTTTAAATCCAGCTTTTAATATAATCATTTATACATATAATACATACGTATTATAAACAAAATTAATAAAAAAAAAAATGATTATGATTATATGTGTACAATTCTCTTGAGAGTTAAAAAATGTATTACTTTAAAAAATAAAAATACATTGTGATTTTCGCCTGTCGAAATTATAACAGACAGCTCGGTAATCAATATTCCTCCAGTCTGGGGCTATTACGTGTTATACACACGCGTATATCGTAACGATGTGTAATATATATCTATAATTCATGATAAAAAGTAAATAAAAAAAAAAATTATAATTATGGTAATTTACAATTCGTGTATATAATATATAGTAATATACTCGTAAATACAATTTACTTTTTAAATTCTGAGTGGAGCAATTTTACAAAAATATTTTTTGTATCTGTGTACAACTTTTCTACTAGAAATCTTGATTTAATTTTCCAGTATAATGTCTATGCTGAAAGAAAATTGTACTAGGGAAGTACTTTAAAGGAGTCACTTTTCGATGTTTTCTAGAGTTTTCTCATCAAATATGAAAAACTGAAAAAAATAGAGGAAAAACGGGAAAATGTATGAAACATCCAATATTAGTAAAATATTACGATTTGTTTTTCTGTGTAAAACTTTTCTACAAGAAATTTTACACCGATTTTCAATGATAGTACTTTTTGTAAAAGGAAATCAGGAGATTTCCTAATAAATGGAAAAACCACGGAAAAACCGGGAAAGACGGGAAAGACGGGAATATAGGTACAACATTAAACAAATATTATTAAAGAAAATATGTAATGCCTATGTAATTATTTTACCATACTATGACATATTATATAATGTTGACAAAGCAACACTATCAACTGAACTTCACTTAGAATCGTTTTTTCGTTAGCAAAGGTTTATCATTATGTTCAGATATACCTACATTAAATTTCCTCTTTACTACCTTCCCAACTTCTCACCTACAACTGCACTCACGTATATACGTATTTTTGTGGCGTATACAACTTTATACACAACCACGACAAAGATAATAATATTATCTTCACCGAGCTTTAAACAGTGGCATTACTTTACAGGACGGTTGCAAATAAGTAGCTACGGGAAACCTTTGGCAATTATTGAGACGACTGCAACAATACTGACCCAAATTTAAAACCAACGGTCCCTGGATCCACTCCACCATCGACTATACTACGGCAATCAATTTAAAATATTTCGGTCCGAACATTTAAAACATTTTTTGATTGCAGGCTACACCAGTAAATGAACAATATGAGTGAATGAACATATCAACGGTTTCTTTTAAATAATAAGAAATATAGAAGTATAGAACTATGATAAATTTTTTACAAATTTTCAAAATATTTTAAAGTCGGTCACACTGTAATCTGATAAAATGAGATTTGAAATTGTTTGATTGAAGGCGTTTGTACTTTCCCTCCATTTATTATCACCGGTGGTTTTTTTCAAATTCTTTTTTTTTCAAAAGTTAGATGTTCAAAAATAAAACGATAAAACATCTTCAACTCAAGGGAAGATATTTTAAGTGTTATTTAATCGATTCTACATTATATAAAGAAATAGATATATTAATTTATTAATTTCAAGTATTTTTTAATTTAGTTTAATAATTTTCAAGCATTGGTATCCCAAACAACTTTTCTGCTGGTAATTGTGTTATGGTCAAGTATGAAGGGGAGTTTTATCCAGGAATAATTGAAAAAAAAAATGAATTTAAAGTAAGTATATATAGTTAGGTATCAATATGTGTGTGAACGTGTATTACTATATCCACTTTTGTTTAAAAAGGGTAAAAATCATGGCTCTGTATAAAACGAATCGGAAATGGCCAACAACAAAGAATGTGTGCTGGTACTCTGAGGAAGATGTGAAAATAATTAAAGCTCCTCAACTATTAAAAAACTCTACAACAATTTACTTATGTTTAAAAATAGAAAAAAAAAATGAAGAGAACCTAGTTTCTAAATATCCTATTTAAATATTTAAACTATTGTTAATATAGTTTTATATTATAATGTATATTTGTTTAAGTTGTTGTGGATACAATAATACGTTTGTTATTTCTTAATAAATATAAATGGTAATTAAGTACATTAAGTTAATGTCTTAGATTCCGAGCGTGGCGAGGGAGCTATTAGTTTTAAAATGGTGTTTATTATTAATTTTTTTTTGTTTTTTGTTCTAGTCTGTGACACGTTTTTTCCTAGTAAACTTGCTCCGATGTATAAGTGTAGCAACTTTTCTGAAAGCTCAAGTTGTCTAGATTGTACTTTAAATAAATCATGTTTTTGATTTTCGACGCCATTTTCAGAAGTTTTGTTGCTGTAATTTGGTTATAAATACACGTAGAGTATTAAAACTTAGTAATAATACTTATATTGGACTTACCTAGACGTGGTAAAATTTTTAAAAATCATCGGACTATTTTTTTTAATAAGCGTTTTGAAATCAAATTTAAACGAAAATCGCAAAAAAAATTACGGCACTTCAAATTATGTATCACCGAACTGCGTTTGGAATCGTCTTTCGTTAAGCAATGGTTTATCATTGCTTATAAATATAAATTAAATAACCTTGTGTATCCTACCTTTTAAACTTCCCACCTACAACTGTGGCTGCATTCATCCCTAGTATCAGGTCTTTTTTTTTTATATTTAAACTATTATTAAGAAGTTGAAGTTTTATATTTGTTAAGTTTTTGTAGGTATAATAACTATGTTATTACTTATTATGCAATAAACTGTACTTAAGTACATCAAGTTGAAGTTTTATTTTTTATACTTGTTAAGTTATTAGCAGTATATTTGGTATTTAACTATATTCTGTATTTAAAAATTGATCATCTAGTCAGGTGTTTATTTATAGGACAATAATAGTTCATTTATCTAACATTGTTCATTCACGGGGAAATATGTGTTCATTAAAACAGTATTTTGTTCCTTTACTGGAGAAAATTAATTAATTTCATCAAAATAGTTTTTTTTTTTTTTAAATATTATGCATTATTTTCATATTGTTTAATTATATAACTTAAAATGACATTCTATTATAATATATAAAATATAAATACAAATTATACTTGGTGGTATTTATACTTATTATGATGTAACTATTTATGTGTCTACAAAACCTTAGGTGTTCATTAACTGGTGCAGTCTAATTATTTTATTATTTATACATTTATAAACGAATTATTTAATTGATTATTCTACTGTACGAAGCTTTTTATAATGTTTTTTAATCGTTTCATGTATCGTTATATTTTTTATTTATTAATACTTTTTGATCGTAATAGAGGGGTTTATTTTTTCACGTAAAAAATCTGACCCTTATTTCAGTACTAATAGAAAGCTAATAAAAAACATCTTAAGGAGAATAAAAAGATCTAATATTGTGGAAGGATATACCACTGTTTTTGTTGGGAAGTCAGGAATGTAGAATACATAAAGTTAATTAATTTATACCTGCCTGTAAGTAACAATAAACCATTGCTAACGAAAAAAAAATTATGAGCAAAGTTCGGTTATTTGGTATAATATGTTTTGAAAGGCCGTATATTCACTATTTTCGTCAAAATTCGATATTAAAACTCATGAAAAGATAAACAAAACGTTTGTTAAATTGTTAAGTTTTCAGGTATTTAAGTTTAGTTCAACAATTTTATTTACAGAATACTTGTCGAAAAAAAATACTACGCAAAAAACTCGCATTGGCCCCAGATTCCACATTTCAAGGATGCATTATAATCTTTTAAAACTTATTAAAATAAAGCATAAAAATAAAATTCACAAAACACGTGAATTTTTCGCATCATTTTATTGATCGGTCAAAAAATATATTAGGCATACCTAAACAGGGAAAAACAAATGCATTTTAGGTGTACCTAGAGACCCAGCTATTACTCGCTCGAACTATTTTAATCAAAAAATACCTCACGATTTGTTGTGCAAACTTTTCAATCAAAAATCTTTTCGATTATGAGTGTACCTTTCTAAAGGAAATCGGACTGAAGAGGTATTTTAGGGATGCCATATTTCGATTTGCTCAGGAATTTTTTCGTTAAATATGAAAAATCGAAAAAAAAAATTGAGGAGAAATGGGAAAATCGGTACATTATTAAACAAATATTATTAAATAAAATATATAGAGCTTATATTCCGCAACAAACATTCGACAATCGATCAAGTCCATCGCGTCACTAACATGATAAGTAAAGCTCTTGAAAAATATTACTGCTGTGGAGCGTTTCTTGATGTAGCTCAGGGTCTTTTGACAAAGTTTGGCACAAGGGATTCCTTATCATATTGTGTGATAAACTGCAACATACCTGGTGTGCACTTTTTTAATTATATTTAACTGACCGTTAATTCTGAGTCATACATGAAGAAGCGGTAACCGAATAGAAAACTGAAGTACCATAAGGTAGTGTCTTAGGACCTATCCTGTACCTACACTGCACAGCTGATATACCAAACGATGAAAATCCAACGATAGCTATGTTTGCCGATTATACGGCAATTTGATGGACAATTAAGAATCAGCTAACTGCAACTCATAACTTACTAGATTCAATTTAAAACATCTTTGCCTGGACGAAACGTTGGAAAATTAAGATAAATGGTGAAAAATCGGTACACTTTAACTATTCGTTATATCAAACAAAAAAAAAAACCAAATTATGTTCAATCAAACATAAGTCCCACAAAAAGATTCAGCAAAATACCTTGGAATGCACCTAGACTCCCGTCTAAACTGGAAATACCATGTCTGCCAGAAAAAAAATACAGATTAAAGACAAAATGCGGAAGCTCTATTGGTTAGTTGGCCCCCACTCCGAGTTAACTATAGAAAACAAACGCCTACTATATATAGCTATCAAAAAACCAATTTGGACCTATGGAATTCAATTGTGGGGTGTGCCAGTAAGTCTAACATTGATATAATAAAACGCTGCCAAAACGTCGCTCTTCGGGCCATCATTGCAGCCTATCGGTTTGAAAGAAACGATGTCATCCACCGCGATATGATGCTGCCTACAGTAGTTGACGAAATCCAAAAGTTTGATCACAAACACGAGACAAGATTAGATCACCATGTCAATCCATTGGCAGTCCAATTATTAGACATTTCTAAATAAACTAGACGCCTTAAGCGTCTGGAAACATACGACTTAGTTTAAGAATTTAAATTAAGGGTAGAAGTAATTTCATTGGAAGTGTGACTTCATCAAAGTATAAAGTATATGTTAACATCTTGTTAAACATATTTATAAAGACATTCAAGTCGTTAAAATAATGAAAATGCTAGGCATTTAAAAAGAAATAGTTTATACATATTAAAGATATTTAATAACACTCATTAAAATGATCAAAGAAATGTAAAGATAAACTTACTTTTTTCTAATTACTAAAACCAAAGTGAGACAAAATACGTTTGAGATTTGTTGAAAAATGAAGAAATGTATACCTGCTGTACAACTTTTTATTTTAAACTATTTTAAACTATTATTAAATTCTGTATGGAAAAAAAGAATACTATTTCTTATTTATTTAAAAATATAATTTGTTATTAATAGGTACTACTTAAAGTTAAAAATAAAAAAACATTTTGTTTTTATTTTGCTTGCTAGTCTTTATTATTTTTAAAATATTGGCAGAGAGATATTTATAGTTTTGCCACCCTAAGGTATAATTAAGAAAACTTACACTTCTGTGCATTTATTCTGGTAATGAGAAAAAAAAAATCATCGCCTATTTGTAAGCCTCCGGAAAAAAAAAAGTTTACCTCCTCGGGTCGATGGCACCTCATCGCCCTCCCCTCCCTTAAATACAAAAATAATGCCAATAAAGGACTAAAAATGTTTTGTTGATTTTTTTTTTTTTATTTTGATTACAAGTTAAACAATTTTAGGATTTTGGACACCCCATGAAAATTGGAAAACCTGGTGCCCACGATTAAAGCGTCCATTTCTATTATTTTCAGCGCTATAAAATCGGAATCCCGATAAGTGATGATAATTTAAAATTACGATACGTTTTTATTTTTCCCCGTAGTTTACAAAATTTTCCGAAATATTGTGCTAATAAATCGTCCACTGTATAATCCTCGAAATATTATCAAATACGCAGAAAAAAAAAAAACAAACCGTTTTCCCGCGAATTTGCGGATTCGTACGAATTATTGTTCACACGTTATACTCTCGTAAAACTGCATAATATTATGTTATTATTATACTCGTTAACGACAATAATAACACGTAACCGCAAAAAAATCCGGACTATAAATTAATGCAATTTTAATTTTTTTTTTTTTTTTAATCGTACGCGAGTAATATTATTTATAACGATTACTGACGCGGGCGAACGGTCGTAATCGGATTTTTCAGTTCGGCGTTTTTGTCGGTGGATTTTTTATTTTTTTTTTCCTGCTAAACGTTGGATGTTCTTTTATTGTCCTAGATTCGTCCGTATAGTAGTACAACAATATCGGAGAAAAAAAAAACGTGACGAATATAATAATTAATATTATTATCGCGTACAGTTATATTAATTTTGTTACGGACGTCGTCGCGGTCTTTAAGGCCGGCATTGTTTATTCATCGTCCGCGTAAGAACCGGGGCGGGTATCCCCTCCCACATAATAACAATAATAATAATAATAACAATAACAATAATACGTAAGTATACACGCGCAGTAGCGTACGAACGTTTTAGATTTTTCCGCCGCGCAAAAACCGTTTTCCGTCCGAACGGCGATCCGTACGAGTGAGCACAGGCGCGTCGTCGGCCGACACTTGCGCAAATAACAATGTTCCTCGTCCGCACGTGTTCGGGTGCGGGTAACGGGCGAAAACGGGTAGAGGCGTACACGGGTTAGGCGTGCGGACGCCACGGTCATAATGGTGTTGTGGCGCGTGATGGACAAAGCCGGCACGGGTCCAGAGCAAACATCTGGTGGGGGGGGGGGGTGAGGGGCAACGGTTTTTCCACAATCGCAATATAATATGATGAGCCAACTCGAAAGGGTTCAACGGAAGTATTTGAATTTTGCTATCTATTTATCAAGAATTGAACACGAACCTCGTGGTTACGAACCGGTATCGCGTAGGTCGCGTTTACAGTCCTTGGCTGATAGACGAGTCGACTATGATAAGGTCTTTCTACGCAAGCTTATTGATGGGTCGATTGATAGTTACTTTCCACGGTTAACTTCAATACACCTCGCATCCAGACCCGATTTTCCTATCCTTTCTCGTTACCTTTATGCACGACTAATTTTTCCCGTAACCGCCCACTCTACAGGATGATGCGTCTTCCTAACGAGGGTCCGTCTTTTAATTTGAAAGTGGTCCTAATGTATTTTTCTCACTCATTATTATGGTTTTGCATATACGACTTGTCTTCTCGCTTTAGTTATATTTTAGTATCGTTATCTTTTATATTAAATTGTTGTTGTACTTTGGGCCGTGGCCCGTATTAAAAATAAAATAAAATAATATATGGTATCGTACATATCTGTGATTGGAATATAGTAACATCAGGATCTATAGAATCGTAAACAAAATCGGAGAAATAATATGTCCGGGGGGGGGGAGGCTGGGCTCATAGCTCCCTCCCCACTGGATCCGTTTCTGCGGACAAGTTTTTCGACTTAAGTAACGGAGTAAGTTATATGGTTACTTTCCTTAATTAAGTGATTAAATTGAGTTACAACTAATATAGTGGCTATATTTAAAAAAAAAAAGAGAGTTATACTATAGTCAAGTCGCTGAAAGTACTAATCAAAAATTTACAAGTTACAAAGTTGCTTTTTAAATTTTTTTTTTTTAATATTAGTAGTCATAATTATTATAATTATTAAATGTATAAGTCTTAGTGAATTTTTTTTTTATCGAAAATATTTAACGAAATTTTAACAGCAATGGTTTTTCAATCGTTGAATCAGCCGTGGATCCTCTTCGGTCATCAAACAATAAACCCCCAACACTAAACAATCGTTCAACGTGAGTGTTGGACGTGGTCCAGTGGCGTATTTAAGAGGGGGGGAAATCGATGTGGAGGCGATCGCCCTCACATCGATTAATATGTGTAGGTATTTGGTACATAAATATATACAATAATTTAATATTGCTGGAAAAGTGTCATCAGCCACAAAAATAAAAACATTTCATGGTAAGATAAATAGAGTGGAATAGGTATAAACTTGTGTATAATAATTCTAGTGTCCCCCCCCAAATAATACTAGGTCAAATACGCCACTGACGGGATTCGTGTGTTAAATTCGACGTAGGCTTTTTGAAGAGAAGTAGATAAATCGTTCATGGTTTCAATAGGGTTACTTTGGTTGTTTTTTTGTCCATCACGATAGGTGCATGTCGATACACTTCAGGGGAAAAATCCGAGTTGCAAGATATCAAATGACAAAATGATGAAAACTGAGTTGTCAAATAATAAAAAGTAACTCGTCGAGTTACAAGTTACAAGACGACCGGAAGTATCGTTATAAAATTACTGATTTTCGGAACTTTGCAACTATAGTTAGGTACTGTTCAGCTTTTTTGATTACGGTGTATCGCCTCGCAAAATCGTTCCGACCGTTGTTACACGGGTATATTTTTGTATTATTATGATTACAACGGCCGATAATCAAAACGAAATTGTTAATAATTTTTTGATTTTTATTCCGCCGCCTGCGGGTGTCGCGACGTGTTATTATGCCCGGTATAATTACACGGTCGTCGAGCGGCGGCGGCGGCGGGGCGTTTCGAACGCGTCGAACGTTGTTCCGCGGTTTCCGAGGATCCGGAGAGAGATTTGGACGCGCGCGGAATATTACAGTATTATCGCGTACGCGGATGTTAATAATATTGTAACAATAATAAGCAACAGTATTTGTTGTCATTCGGCGGGCGTACGACGTTTATTTTTTCCGTATTGTCCCAACAAACACGGCGGCGCGGCCGAAACGGAGAATAATCGATAAAGGGTCGACGTCGCGCTTAAAAGTATAATGCGACGGCGGCGCCTCGAGAGCTTTCACCCATCCCCCGCGCGGGCGCCAGGCTCGGGCCGCCGCGGGGTAGTCCGCGGCGGGGTGTGGCGCGCTCCACCCGCCGCCCGGCCGGCGTGCGACGGCCGCTGTTCGGCCCCTGCCTCGCCGCCGCCGACGCACGGGACCACCGCGTTTTTCGCGGAACGTTCGCGCGCGTACCTTTCGTCCCGCGAAGACGGCGTTGCACTTGGGCCCATCGAAAGCGGCCCAGGAGACGGCTTCGAGAGGGCGCGCTCCGATCCCGAGTCCGCCGGCCGACGACGGGGTTGTACTCCGTGGCGCGGGGTTCGTTTGAATTCGGGCGCGCTCGACGGCCGAACAGCGGCCCGTCGACCGGCAGCCGTTCCGTTCGTACGCGGTCGGTGTCATTCGTCGGATTCCGAGAGAGCGAGACCGTTTGACTAATCGTTGCCGCCGCCGCCGCACCGACGCGTATCGTCGACCGCCGTCGACGCGCATCGTACATACATCTATACGAATAATATATATATATATATATATATTGTATATTTAATATACGTGTGTATGTATGTATATATATATATATACAAAAATATTATATAGTATATACACACGCGTCGGCGCGCGCGCACACGCACATCCATCCGTATCCGTACGAACGATCGCTTCCGTCCGTATGTTTTGCTGTCGCTATCGCCGACGCTGCTGCCAGTGGTGACGTATTGTCCAGCGGACAGTGTGTGTGTGTGTGCGTGTGTCGTGATCTTCGCGATCGTCGTCGCCGCCGCCGCCGCCGCCAGTTGATATAACATTATTATCATTTGCTTTATCATTGCAATATTATTTTCGACAGTCTTCTTCGTCGTCGCGTCGTCGTCGTCGTCGTCGTTTTACGCGGGATCGTAAATTGTGTTTCACGCGTCGCCGTCGTCGTTCTCCGATAATAAGGGCTGGCGACCGGGCAGTAACGCGGCGCCCCGTGTGAGTACACCAACTCCGACAACTGGTGCCGCTGCTCCGCTACACAATGGCCGGCAACATGGGAATGGAACAATTGATACCCATCGTGAACAAGCTGCAGGACGCCTTCACACAGCTGGGCGTGCACATGCAGCTCGACCTGCCCCAGATTGCGGTGGTCGGCGGTCAGAGCGCCGGTAAAAGTTCCGTGCTGGAGAACTTTGTCGGAAGGTAAAAAGCGATTCTGGGCCGGTATCATAACACAGTGCCTACCTTTTATTTGCCTACGACCTAGACATGTTAGCCGTACCGGATGAGTAACGTGCAATTCGTTGTGTAGGGGCTGTCTGTGTGAAATGTGTCGCCCAACTCGCGAGTGACACACTGACAGGATGTAACATCAGCTTACCGGATTGTAGTATAAAATATGAGCCCGGCGCGTTTAAAATTTAACAGTATACTCGGACGATTGTCTCGATACGATAATTGTGAACCTACTTATCGATAGGCGGGTGACATCGCACAAAGGTTTCCCGAAAACAATCCTTTTTTTTATTTTATTCAGCCCTAGGCGTGTTAATGTTCATTCTTAATAGGTATGAGTAATATCAAATATGACTAATGAATTTCATGTTTGCCTATGGCACAATGCGGTACTTATATTATTTTCAATTAATATACGATTCGTTTGTGTTGTGATGAGACAGCTTTTTTGTGTACCTACTTCTGTTTTGCATTTGGGTACCTACACCGTTTGTTTATTGTTTTATTGATTTTCATGTATTTCAGTTAAATACTTAAATACAAACCTGAGATTAGACCGAAGAGAATACAACTACGTGTCTAGGTGAAGATATAAGATATTATTGGTTTATCTTTACAATACTCACCTGTATCTATATATTATGTACATTATTCGTGTAAAGTGACATTTTAAAACATACCATGGTATAGACAGTTAAGCAAGTGTACCTACGTATTTTATTTGGATTGGGTAAATATCAACATCGAACTGTACACACGAGTCATAACGGTTTTGGAGGTTTTTTAATGTTTTATTAGCCACTGTTGATTTATCTCTGGGTTTTTCAGTTTATAGTCAGATGGACGATACCTAAATATTGTTAATTGCAAATTGCAATATTTACCTACCTATTTAATTTGGCTATTTTCAAATGCCAATGTACTAACAGCACCATCTTAATTGTTTGCTCTTAAAGGATTTTAATCCAAATCAATGACAATTTTCAACCATTTTGATATTTATCAATTTTCATACGTACCTATACTGTGTATAGTACTAATGTTATTGTTATATAGTATAATATTTGTATTTGAATAATCACATTATTATAACATGCGTGTCTAGTTAAATATGTTTTTTTTTTATCTAGTTGTCTATTTATCCGATGAAGCACCAGATTGATATCAAATATAACTGTTTTTGTTAGATTTAATATCACTAGAAATGATTTTATTGGTAGCTATCAATTTCATTACCTTGCTCATCATTCGATTTTGTAGTTTTCCTTTCTGAAGAATTAAGATCAATCATATTGGCCGTTTAATTTTTAAAATTAAACTTTAGTTAATCATTTTTTAATTATTTTTTCTTTTATCTTGTATCTAATTATAAATTTACATTTTAAGTATATACTATACTTACGATATAAATATATTTTATTTATTTGTTTTGTTATTGTATATCACCTTGTATATTACTATAAAGTCTATTTGACCCCCTCTCTATCTAATACTTTGCTTTTCAAAGAGAAATCTTGTAAAAAACTGACTCACTTCTAGATAGAAATTTTGGTCAATGATTTCTGTTATTTTATTAACTGACATTGCACTCCATATTTACTCATGTGTAACCTTTTAGATTAACTAGAATAGTTTTCTTTCAAACAGTTTAAGCTGAAAACATTTTGCTTAAACATCTCCATTTATATATTTCTAGGTATATTACATATCTAATTAATATTGTAATTAATCTGTGATTATTAACTTTTGATCCAAGTTATTCTAATATTTTCAAATTAATTCATATAATATATGTAATATTATTAGGGTTTGGATTTCTAAGAAAATTATTTACAATTTCGTTAGATAATAATTGGTATATTGATTTAAGATAAAAATTTTATTTCCGTAGATTTATAAACTAATTTTTCAGTTAGTAATTTATTGTATTTAAACTAATGCAAATTAGTTTAAATTTAAATATTAAACAATTACCTATTTTTGTGTGATACTCTGTTATTTTTGGAGGGTACTTATAATATATTGAATAAGTTTTATCTGTATACCAGTACTATAGCCAGAATAAATTGTTCAGGGGGAGGGGGTGCAATAATAATTAAAACTTTTAAAACGTTGCACTGTAATACTCCACTTATAAAATTATAATATAGCGCCTCAAACATTTGAATACATTTTTTTATGAAGTAAATTATTAATTTATATTCACTTTATTGATTTTAACTAATATCCATCAACTTTATTTATAACGTTAATATGTGATATTGTATTGGTATTTTTAATTTTGTATCAATATTAAAGTACTTACTGTTTACAGTAAGTAGTTCAATCAGAAAATACTTAAATAAAAAATAGTTAATAGTTAAGAACACTTAATTGTAACAACATAGTCCCAGCTACACAACAAAGCCAAAACATAAATAAATTAATAGCTAATGTAAATCTCATTTATCTTGGTGAATTTATTTAAATTTAAAATTAAAATTAAAATAATATAAATGTTGTTATTATTTAAACTTTTAAATGTATTAATCTAATTAATTAAGATAAATCTTATTAATTAATAATGATTATTATAAAAATAAATAAGATAAACTTTTTAAGATTTAATATAGTTAACATAACAAATTAAACATGATAGCTACTGTTCAGTGCAACCATAATAAAACAAATATAAACATTTTTATATAGTATAAAATCAAGTAGTTTTATACTGTACGTTTTATTTTTTTATTCCTTTAAAAAGATAATGGGCCCACTGAACGAGTATGTATGGGAGCCCGGAGTATACATGCATATAATACGTGTTTTATACGTTCCAACCCTGATCTTTATTGTAACCCATTAAATTTTTAAACCAAGTTTATAACTGGTTAACCATGTTTGGTTATTAACTATAAACTCAATTTAAAATTCAGATAAGTAATTGCCTTTGCTTAAGTTGGTGAAAGAGGTTCTTAAAAGTAAATGTAATAATTATTAGTTAAAACAATCTATGTATTGTACTTATATTTTTGTATTAATTATTATTCATTTTATTTTTAGGGATTTTCTTCCAAGAGGTTCAGGAATTGTAACTCGACGTCCTCTTATACTTCAGCTTATAAATAGCACATTAGGTAAGTTAAATTGTTTTTTTTCAAACATAATATGTTTAATTATCCTATTAATTAAATAGTTATTAAAAGTAAACTTTTCATTAGACATAGAAAACAGTAACCTAGTTCTAATCCTTATCAATACTTAATACATTTAAGTTATATATTTTACATTCGTTAGTCATTTGTATATCAGTGGCGTAACTAGGACCAATTTGTGGGGGGTGATATGAATATTTATCATTAGTTAAAAAAAAAAAAACATTTATAGGTATCTTACAAATTATAATTAATTATATTATATTACAATAATATTTCCAGTTTCCTTGATTTTTTGCCAGGTAATCAGTTTCTTCAACATTTAATTTAATATGTCTATTGATATTGAAGACAATCCATTAAGTCTAACCTAACACAAAAACAAAAATACGAAACCCATAAATTAATCTTGATTTATAGTTGAACAATGAAATCTAAAAATTAAAACTAGATTACATACTTCCATCATAGTATTAGGTAAATAGGTTTTTATACGTTTTAAACTCAAAAAGATTCTTTTAGGTGTAGCTGTTGACACGGGAAGTGTACATTAAATCTTGAGAAGAATATGTATATTGTGGTATAAATCTTCATGGCATAGAAAAAGAGTATCTAGTGCAGTCTTTATACATAAATTATTAGTAGATATTTTTTTTGATATTTAAACTCAGTTAATGACACATGCTTGTCAATCTCTGGTGAGTAAAATTCAACTAGTTTATTAAATTTACCAATTTCTTCAAGAGTTAGTTTAGAAGTATTTGGATTATATTAAAGAGGTATTTAATTCATAAGAAAATTTAAATTATCTATTCAACTGATATAATCTATAAACTATAATTATATATAATTTGTATCACAGTGTACCTACAATTTACTTACTTGGTAATTGTTATATTATCATTATCTATAGAGAAAATGGGTGAGCAAAAATGTATAGGACATTTGCCCAATCAATTTTAAAATTATAAATTATAATACAATAAAAAAAAAAAAAATGTCTGGTGGTTGATTTATCACCTAAATATCACCCCCTTAGTTACGTTACTGGTTTATATAATAATAGTTTACTTTGAAAATAATAATTCAATCTAAAAATATTATAAACATAGGTAAAACTATTCATGATTTGATTTCTAAATATCATGTGCATTATTTTTTATACTGTTATGAATTTAATAAAAACTGATAAAGATGCTTTTTCAATTTTTTTTTTTATGTAAATGTATGTCATACTTATATGCTAAAATATATAAAAATGATTAAATTACCTTAAGATGTTTCATTAAACTTCTATTATTATTTACCACTTAACAAAATCATTTATTTATACATATATCTATATTATTTGCATCTATATTAATTTTAACATTTTTAAAAAAGTTTTTTTTTTATTTGTTAATTTAAAAATTGTATATATCTACTTACATTTATTTCTAAATTGCATTAATTAATTAAACTTAAAAATTAAAATGTAATTAAAGAATTAACATAAGATGTAGTAAAATATTTAATATTATCTATGACTAATAATTATTTTCAATTTTTACAGAATACGGAGAATTCCTCCACTGCAAAGGAAAAAAGTTTTCAGATTTTGATGAAATCAGGCGTGAAATAGAAGGTGAAACTGATCGTATGACCGGATCTAATAAGGGAATATCAAATATACCGATTAATTTGAGGGTATATTCACCTAATGGTAAGTACGAGGTGCATTAGATGTTTATTTATGAAATCATAATTTGAATTATTAAAAGAATAATGATAATAGTTTAGTTAAACGAATGAAAACGAAGTTGTTAGGTATTTTTGTCAAAATAATGATTAAAGTATTTCACATAATATTTTAAATGTACAATATAAGAAATATCTACATTTTTTAACATATAGGTAATATATATAATTCTATAAATATTTTGAAATCTTATATTATTAAGTGTATTATTATTTATTACTATTGAATAAAATGTTTTTAACTATCATTAATTAAAATTATTATTTTCTTGGAACTTAAAAAATAAGAAGTTGTAAACTAATTTTGTATTAAGTTTTACACAAATATTTATTACATTCTGAATTATTGAAATAAATTTTTTTTTATTACTCTATAAGCCATTTTACTATGGTTATTATTTATAACATGTAAACAGTTTTAAACATCACATTGATCGATTTGCCCGGCTTGACGAAAGTGCCAGTGGGCGATCAACCAGTTGACATTGAACAACAAATCAAAGACATGCTGTTCCAATTTATCACAAAAGAAACATGTCTTATATTGGCTGTAACTCCGGCTAACACTGATCTGGCCACTTCTGATGCTTTACAAATATCAAAACAAGTTGACCCAGACGGTAAACGTTAATCGGCCAGTAATCTACTCGCCAATATTGCACCAACTCATGCTATTAGCATTTTTGTTGTATTTTTTTTAGTTTTCGTTAGAATTCTATATTGCTTCAGTTTTTTGTTTTTTTTTAAACTTACCGATTTTACTTACCAACCTAATAATTTAACTATGAATGGAGACTGTAACCAGTATTTAAAAATAATCATTAATAATTAAAAATAAATTTCAAAGGATAGGGTAGGCTACAAAGTAATGAATTTAATTTGATAATGTATAGATGGTGTATTGGTGGCCTTTGTGTAGTTTTGCTAGTATTATTTTCCAGTGTTGAACCTGACCCTTGTTGATTTGCCTGGTATGACCAAAGTACCTGTTGGGGACCAACCTCCCGACATAGAACACCAAATAAGAGCAATGTTATTCACTTTTGTTAAACGAGATAATTGCCTGATTTTGGCTGTAACACCGGCCAACCAGGATTTGGCCAACAGTGATGCATTAAAAATTTCGAAAGAAGTTGACCCTGAAGGTAAGAAATCGAAAATATTTTCATCTATGATTTTGTTTATTAACAAATTATTGAAATTAATCTCTCATTTCTAAATCAACATTTTTGACAAAGGTTATTTGGGTATTTGGGAAATTATAATTGGCATACCTATAAAAAGATAAAAATATACTCTGATATAGGTATAGTTGGTTTTAAAAAGTATTGGCTTTAAAATGTTAAAAGGATGTTTAATTTTTTCATAAGGATTTTATTATTGAATAGAAACTACTCCATTCACTGTGTGAATATATTTGTTTATTTCAAATTTTTTAAATTTTTTTTATAGATTTTATGTTTATTACACGCTTAATAAGTAATTATTCGGAGATTTACTGTAGTGGAACTTTGCATGCTATATATAAAATAATACATTAAAAAAAAAAATTAAATAAATTATTATTATTTACATTTATTCATTATCAATATTTCATTTTTTTTTTCATTGCAACCAATTTTTGAATTTTTTGAAAAAAAAGCATGTATTATACACTATATGCATACAAGTTGCCCATGTTTGTTACAGGTAGACATCTAAATATAATTTAATAAATGTAAAAGCTACTGTAATTACTGTAATAGAAATTTGTTTTGTGGCATTCCTTTTTATTTGTATATAAAAACTAAAATTTATAATTTCTCATTTAGGTATGCGAACTATTGGTGTCATAACAAAACTGGATTTAATGGATGAAGGAACTGATGCTAGAGATGTACTAGAAAACAAACTTCTACCTCTCAGACGTGGTTACATTGGTGTAGTAAACAGAAGTCAGAAAGATATTGATGGCCGCAAAGACATAAAAGCAGCCTTAGCCGCAGAAAGAAAATTTTTCTTGGGGTTGGCTGATATTATATATTTTGAATTTCAGTATAGACAATATTTTAAAATATAATATTTTTGTTTAGACATCCATCTTATAGACATATGGCTGATAGACTTGGTACACCATATTTGCAAAGAGTTTTGAATCAACAATTGACGAATCATATTAGAGATACATTGCCAGGTCTTAGGGATAAATTACAAGTATGTTTTATTTTATTTTTACTAAGTTCGCGGTTACTTATAATTTAATTATTTTCAGAAACAATTACTTACATTAGAAAAGGATGTTGAACAATTTAAATACTTTAGGCCAGATGACCCTGCTATTAAAACCAAAGCAATGTTACAGTAAGAAATTTAAAGTCCAGCAATATTATATTATATTTATTGTATTATTATATATATTCTCATTAATGTAGAATGATACAACAGCTTCAATCTGATTTTGAACGCACAATTGAAGGTTCTGGTTCTGCTCAGATTAACACCAATGAGCTCTCTGGAGGTGCCAAAATTAATCGTTTGTTCCATGAACGTTTTCCATTTGAAATAGTGAAAATGGAAATTGATGAAAAAGAACTCAGAAGAGAAATAGCATTTGCCATTAGAAACATTCATGGTGTGTAATATACTAAGAGCTTGAATTTGTGATTGACTAAATACTATTTTTATTTATAGGTATCAGAGTTGGTTTGTTTACACCTGATATGGCTTTTGAAGCTATTGTGAAAAAACAAATTGCCAGATTGAAAGAACCATCTTTAAAATGTACTGATCTTGTTGTTAATGAATTGTCTAACGTAGTTAGAATTTGTACTGATAAGGTAAGAACAACATTGATAATAATAATAAAAATAAAAATTTTATTTTAATTAAATGATACTAAAAAAAAAAAATAATAGATGTCCAGATATCCACGTTTGCGAGAGGAAACAGAACGCATCATTACAGCATATATCCGCAATCGTGAGCAAATGTGCAAAGAACAGTTAATTTTATTGGTTGAATGTGAATTAGCCTATATGAATACTAACCATGAAGATTTTATTGGGTTCGCTAAGTATGTAACTGCTTTTTGTTTAAATAATATAAAGTAATGTTAATCATATAAATTATTTATAACATTGTTATATTATAGTGCACAGCAATCGTCTGATAATTCTAATAAAACTCATAAACTCGGAAATCAGGTGATTCGAAAAGGTTGGATGTGTATTCATAATTTGGGCATTATGAAAGGTGGATCTAGAGATTATTGGTTTGTTCTGATGTCTGAAAATATCTCATGGTTCAAAGATGAAGAGGTATACTGAAAATAATATCAACTATATATCTATATTATTAACTTTATATTATATATAAAATTATCATTTTTAAGGAAAGAGAAAAGAAATATATGTTACCATTGGATGGATTGAAAATCAAAGATGTTGAACAAGGTTTTATGTCACGTCGTCATACATTTGCATTATTTAATCCAGAAGGTCGTAATGTTTACAAGGTGAACTTTGAATATAACTATGTGTAAGATCAAGCCTACTCTCCACTGGTTTACTTAAGTTTTCAATTAAAATAAAAATTGAATTATAACTTTTAACATTAATGTGTTTTAAATGATTGATGTTGAGATATTATGTCATAATAATAATTTATTTTCTCAAATTGATTTTAATTTAAACATCTTAAATTATGTACATGCAAACATGAAGTATAAAAAAAATAAAAATATTCATATATTTATATTAAATTTTTCTAAGTGATCAGTGGAGAATTGGTTTATAACATTTTTTTTTATTACTTAAATATATGTTTTAGGATTATAAACAGCTAGAATTGAGTTGTGAGACACAGGATGATGTTGATTCATGGAAAGCGTCATTTTTACGTGCAGGTGTATATCCAGAAAAATCATCAGATATATCTAACAGTGATGAGGTAAAACTAAATTTGTGATTAAGAAAAAGACCCAATTTAACAATATATATATATACAACATTTATTTAATATTACTATTTTTTTTTTTTTTACCTTCCGATCAGGATGGTCGTGAGGTTAGTGTCAAATTTATATAATTAGTACTATTTTGATGTAACATTATTATAAAATTATTATTAACTTTAATTTTGTGATGTTTATAGAGCAGTACAGAATCTACTACATCTATGGATCCAGTTTTAGAAAGACAAGTGGAGACTATTAGAAATTTAGTTGATTCGTATATGAAAATTGTCACCAAATCTTGCCGCGATCTAGTCCCTAAAATCATAATGCATTTGATTATTAACAACTCAAAAGATTTTATTAATGGAGAATTATTAGCTCATCTCTATGCTTCTGGTGATCAGGTAATTAATATTAAACATTTAAAACAAAATTAGTTCTTATGACATTTATTAAAAGATATGCACAGAAAAATTATTTACTTTTTATATGGAATATAATGATTTTTTTTTTTAAATATGTGCCCAAAGACAATTATTTGTATTGATGTATACATTATTTATTTAAGTCCCAAATGATGGAAGAAAGTGCAGAGGAAGCTGTAAAACGTGAAGAAATGATGCGCATGTACCAAGCATGTAAAGAAGCTTTAAGAATTATTGGCGATGTATCTATGGCAACTGTAACTACACCTGTTCCACCACCAGTCAAGAATGATTGGCTAGCATCTAGTCTTGAAAACCCTAAGTAATATATTTTGTTAAAAACATAAGTATATATTTTTCATTTTGTTTAACTATAAAGATTGTCCCCACCAAGTCCTGGTGGCGCAGGACGCAAAGGAGTATCTGTTAACTCAACACCCTTAAATGCTGCCTCAAGAGCTCCTCCCCCTCCTCCAGCTTCAGGAAGACCAGCTCCAGCAATACCTAACAGACCTGGGCCAGAACAGGCACGACAACCTCCTGCTCCACCTGGTAGGCCTGGTGGTCAGGGACTTCCTCCACCTTTAATTCCTTCGTAAGTGAATTTTAGCATTTTATTGCTTTAAATATATATTATAAGTAATTCTCATTATATTAACTTTAAATATTTAGTTTTTTTTAAAAAAAAAATTATAAATTTATATTATAAAAACTAGTGCCCAGCTATACTAGCTTCACTAACAATTTTCAGCTAGTTAGCTATGTACTTAATGATAGTACTCACTAACATGTAGTTAGTTTGAGTTACTAACATTTAGTGTAAAAGGCAGCAACGGCGACGGTGTGGTTTTTTTAAATTTCAGACGCCGTTGAAATGTATTGTCGAGCATGTCTTCAGTGGCCGATTAAATCTACAACTCCATTAATAATAACCATTATATTCATAACCAACTAATCTATTCACATAAATTGAAGCCACAGTAAGCTAAATTTGGTCCATTAGTTTTATTTTTACAATTAATTTGAGTGATTAATATTAGTGTTTATATTATTTATTTGTTAAAAAATTTATATTTGTGTATACATACATACATATATATATATATATATATAAATATAAATACATATATATATATATTTGTTTTGTATTCGTTATGTTGGTAAATATCATTGTATAGGTTAGCACATCAGTATAATTAGGTAATTAGATGTTATTTACCTAGGTTACCTAATAAGTAATAATTGTTAAAAAATTCACAATTTGTAAAAGTTGTTAAGTAATATATTTATAAAATTGTAATTTATATTTCCTATATTAGGAATTATCACAGTCATCTTCTAATAATATTAATCATTGGTAGTGATTGTGGAATACATTCATAAATAATAATTATTAGAATATTTTAAGGTATTTAATATTTTTATTGTCTTCATATTTTATTTTAATTTTTTAGCTCATATTTAATGAACTATCAGATCATGTAAATCGTTATTATTTAATCAGTTTAAGAAGTGATATTAATTTCTGGTTATTGATTTTGTCAACAAAATTATGTCTATTTAGTTTAAGATATTTATTTTATGTTTTTTCTTGTTTGCATAGTCAAGAAAAAGTTTTTGAATTTCTTTTAGAAATAATAAATAATTGACAAAGTAAAATAATACCGTAATGTTTGAGTGTCATCTGGATAATATTGACATTATTTTGAAAATACACACTTTACACATTTTTTATGATTAGTAAGCTGCGTAATTAAGTTAAATATACAGACTTTGCTTTTGAAAAGTTAATTAAAATTGTTTTTAATGCTAAAATGATTTAAACATTTTTTTTTTTTTTTGTAAGAACAGTAGCAACCAAGTTGGGGAATACACATTATTATTAGTTAGCGTTATATAATGTGCCAGATTGCTGGTGAGAGCATTCTTTTAATGTTTGGTAATAATAACTGTCAGTAATAAGCTTTATTAAGGGCCGAAAGCTGCAATGTTTGGAGCATATAATGACAAGAGGTGAGAACGAAACAGTTAGAGCAGCATTGGTGCGGAAGCCGGAAGGGAAAAGACCTAGGAAAAGTTGAATTGATGTGGTGGAAGATCTAAAAACTCTTGGAGTTGAGAATTGGAGGGTGACAGTTCAAGATACAGATAGAGAGAGAGAGAGAGAGATAGTGTGTGTGTGTGAGAGGGAGAGAGAATAATAACTGCTAACATTGTTTATATCCAAATATAAGTTACATTAAATAAATTTCAAATAATTTTAGTTACTGTTAATTGATTTAAGTTAATTTCCAAGCCACCAAAATTGGACAGGTCCCTGTTGCATATCTATTTCATATATTTTAAATGGTCTTTTATTTTTACAACTTAATCTGCAACAATATTACTTTTTGAAACTTATCAGAATCAAAATAATAATAATATTAATTTAAACACATTTTCCTTGGCTATGTATTGACTGAATTCTGAAATATTTAGGTAAATTGATAATTTAAATATTTTATTTTTTTAGTTAAAGATGTAGTTATAAATAAAAGCACCTACTTTTATGTTACTAAATACATTATATTATTTAACGCTTTAATGCAATTTATATAAATGTATATATACACATTATTATTATATACAAAACATGGAAACAAATGCTTTTGCTGGTAATAATAATATTGGTGTCAGTTATGAACTAATTTAATGTTAATGTTACACCAATGGGTTTATGGTACAAATAGATTGTTGATATATATTTAATAATTTTATTTTATCTTTTAAAAAATAATTATCTATAGACCTGCATAAGAATTATCTGTAACTAAGAAAAAAAAATAAATAAAAATTATGGCTATGCGCGAGTTATATATTCATATTATTATGATGGTGATTGGCGATAATAGGCGAGGAGCAGCAATGCCACAAATACCGCAACGTATACAGCAAGCTGTCAGCCAAGCTGTTGCACAAGTAGCTGTCAATGAGCTTACCAACGCTTTTGCCAACCGTTTCAAATAATCCGTGTATCTAACTTAATAGCTGTATACATAACATGGTGAGTTAAATTAACATTTATTGACTTAAAACTAAGTTTTTTTTTTTTTTTATAAGATGTATTTTCATTTGTCTTGAAATGTTTCGGTTACTGATTATACAAAGACTATTACTTAAGTATTTTTGATTTTGTCTGTATGGGTTCTGTTAATGTATTTATTAAATACAACAAATATATCTACTATTACTAGTCTAATTTTCACTCACCTATTTTGAATTATAGAAATATTCTTCACAAAACAATAAAAAACTGTATACTACAATAATACTATTTTATAATTCATTATTCTTCTACACTCCTATTATGCTAATTAATAAAAAAAAAAAAAACCGATGAAATTTGATTGCATCATTAGGGGTTGGGGTTGAAAGTTGAAACCTCGGAAGGTCATATCTTTGTTACCAACACCATGCTTACACAAAATATCATCATCTAGGTTTTCATTAAAGGTGTTTGTAGAAATATTCAAAATACCTTCCTCACTCAATAATATGGTGAAGCTCGATCCATCTTTTATCACTTCAAGCCTCCTATAAAAAAATCTTTAATTCCTAAATTTAAGCTCATTTGGTCTAGGAGTTGCTCAAAGTCTCAAAAAGTGGTAGAAAAAGATATAATATACATATATATTATTACAGACACAATATAGTGCGATAGTTTTTTGAGAAAAATATAACAACAAATACATATTCATGTATCATTTATTGACTTATATTACATTTTTATTTTTAAGTCAATTTATTATTTGATTAGTTTCGAATATTAAGTATGCTGAATATGTGTACAATTTACTATTTAAGACAAATGAAACATGTGCGAACATAGGATATTTTTTTTAGTTTATAGGTTATTATTTAAAAAAGTAAATGTATGCAAACATTGTTTTGGTTCTTTAATTTCAGCACGTGAAGAAATTGTCTAGACTTGATTTATCTTCTATTTTAGAAGCATGCAAATGTCCAAAAAACAAGACAAAATATTCTTATTTAAAAAATATATTTATATAATTGTTAATAGATTATACTATCTATCCTTTTTAGGATAATTTAAAATGTTTTAATCATAGTTTAGATATGATATACGCATGAAATGTGATTATTAGTGACTAATTGAATGTTAAACGCATAAAATAATTTTTATTAAAATTATTATTTATTAATTTGTTTGTACATAAAACAATATTATTATTGCTGAAGGCCTCATTATTTAATTTTAATTTTTAAGACAAAGAGGGGGGTCATATTATTGTTTTTATTATCATTCCATTTTATTTATTTTTAATTTCAAGTGCATATAAGGGTTTTTTAAATTTGATTTTCAAACATAAATCCCTATAAACAATCACATTCTAAGTACATAATATAAATTTATTATGTATTCAGTTATTTTAATTATTGCGCGGCATTTATTTTTATAAAGTCGAAAAGGTATATTTTTATCGTCTATATACTTACAAGAATGAAGCTATTTATTAATTAATGTATTGTTAATTATTTAGTTACCAGAGTTCCTGAATACAGAGACTAGTGTAACCATAAAGAGAGGAATTTTATAATAGTGAAAGATAATTATATTTAGTTAAATTATTTATATATATATATATATATTAATAAATAACATAAAATTATATATTTTATTTGTTGATAAATTATTTTTAGGTGTGTGTGGAAAATGAATAATAATAATAATAACAATACAGTTTTAAATGAGTAGTTTCAGTATAATATATAATTTATGGAAAAAAAAAAAAAAAAAAAAAACACTTTTTAAACATTATATTATAACAAGATAATCATTAATATGTATGTTACTCTAAAACCGTTATGACAGCTTTATAATATATTATATAAATATACGACTATGCAAAGCAATGATAGGATATCATACAATTAAAATAAACTTAATATATATCGTTTTAATAAAAAATAATGTTAAGTCGATTCAATTGTATTAGATGAAGAAAAAAAAAAAAAACACTTTTTAAACATTATATTATAACAAGATAATCATTAATATGTATGTTACAAACAAATAGAAATTCTCTAGGTTATTATAATATTATATTGTTGTTAAGTCAATTAAGTTTTCGATGAAATACGACAGAATTAGTATTTTGTGTTCCTATATATATATATATATATACATTACATAGTAAAAGATTGCTTTTTTAAAATTAAAGAAATATTATATATATATATATCGTAAGTGGTTTTTGTAAGTTAGAGCTAAAAACGTGATTACTGTATTTTTTTTTTTTTTTTTTTTTTTTCTATTCACACAAAATTAATAATATGTCGTAAAAACACAAAAAATGTATTATCTGTGCATGTTCATATTTTCATAAACATCATCGAATTGTGTTCGTTGAATATTTTAAATTTTTTTGTTTTTGTTTTTTTTTTTTATTATTATGTTTTATGTATTAATTTATTGATAAAAATAATAATAATAATAATAATTTTAAAATAAGATTCAAAATTGCCAAAGTTTGCCTAGTTACCTAGTGCCTGACATTTACTCCCATTTCATGACGATTATTATTATTATTATTTTTATTTTTATTATTACTATTGTTGTTGTTAAACACGTCGGTTGATATATTGTTGTTTTAGATTTCGGTAAAATTAATTAAGGTAGGCAATATTGTAATCTTGCGTCGGAGAGACAGACCGCGTTTTAGCTCGTAACTCAAACAATCGCTTATATTATTATTATTATTATTATTATATACGTATATGCTCATTAAAAAATATAACATTATATTATATACCATTACCATCGATTTAAATAACGAATAACGATATTACAATAATTATTGTTATCTCTTACTGATTTATGACACTATAAAAAAAAAATAAATAATAATAATAATAATTAATAAAAAAAAAAAAAAAAACTTATGTATCTTAGTTGATGTTGTGAACGTTATATCGGATTGTAGCAATAATAATAATAATAAACAAACAAAAAAGTTAAGTAAAATTGTATGTTGTTTATGTATTGAAAAAAAAAAAAAACCATCAATGTAGTCTGTAATGTAATTATATTATTCGAGCACATAAAAGGAATAAAAAAAAAAAAAAACATATTTTTTTTTTGGCCCGTTGATTTTACCACGATATTGTGTACGGTTTTACCAACGAAAACTTAACAAACTCGAATAAATGAAATAAAGTACGTTTTTTTCGAAACATGAAAATAAAAAAAGTTTTGTACCGTTCATTCCAGGGACACCGTCTTCAAGCGACGGTTTTTAAACGTCTATCACACTTTCGCCATTTATTCTGTTCTCCACTAACAATGTCGCGCGGCATAAAAAACAAACAAATATCATTAACATCATTACACCTACTTACACATTGTTCATCATTATCGCTTTTTGCACGCAGTTTCTCGCTCTTCTATAATATTGCTCATAATAATAATATCCGCCGCCTATGGGGTCAAGCAGCACATTATTAATATTTTTAACATTGCGTTTTTTTTTGTTTTTTTTTTTTTTTGTGTCACGCTTCTACAGGTATATTTTTTTTTCGGTTCGATTTATTTTTATTTTTTATTTTTTTTTTTTTAGGCGACCTGTTAATTTAGTACCCGGCCCGCGTATTCAAAGTCGACTGCACCAATTTCAACGCAATTGATAATATTTTGTCAATTCTTCCCCTTATTTATGGCTTTTCGTCGAGTTACCATTGATAATATTATGTTGTACGCGTGTACAAAAAAAAAAAAAAAAAAAAAAACCAAACAAACAAACAAATTTGTTGTCGTTTCTCGATTCGGGTGTTGTTATTTTTTTTTTTCTGTACACATCATACTCGCAATTATTATGTGATAATATTACTAAAAAGAAAAAAAAAACATTATTACGATGTCGGTTATCGGCCGCCGAACGCAAGAGACGCGAAAGAAGACCAAAAAAAAACCCAAATCGTATTTCCCGGTTCCTATATAGGCGAATAGAAAACGATACGTTGTACTATTATTATTAAAATATCGCGAAACGAACAAATCGTTCGCGGCGCGCCGAGTGCACGGTATTTTTTACGTTGTTATCGTTGATGGCGTTTTGTTTTCGACAAAAAGACGTCAGGGAAAAAAAAAAGAAAAAAAAGACGATTCGTTGTTATTATTATTATTATTATTATTATTTTTGTAATATTACGTACGAGATATTTGTGTTGTTGTGCCGCTGCGTGGAGGCCGTGTCCGTCGAGCAGGGCCCCGTCCGTCCGAAAACGGTTCGGACCATCCCCCGCTCACCATCCACTACCCCGCACCGCCCATCGAAATGCATTGTGCGGAGGAAGAGGAAGAAGAAAACGAAAAAAAAAAATAAAAAACAAATCACATTCGCACTTTCCGCACAGTGGTTTCGAACGGGTGATGTGTAAGGTACTTACGAAAATATTTGTAAAACGCATTATTATTATTATTATTTTTTTTATTATTATTATTATTATTATTACTTGTATAGGTATTGTATTTTTATTACGTTGTATAGGTTTGTTTATGTATATATATATATTTTTATTTTTTTTTTTTTTTTAATTATATTATTATTATTATTAACATCGATCGGTCAACGGTTTTATTTATTTTTTTTTCTCTCGGTTTGGTTTTACGAATTTTCCCGGTAGCGATTGCGGATTTTCCGGTTTCCCGTCCGTCTGTATTTCTTCATTGTAGACGGTGGGGGCGGGAAAGGGGAGGGGGTTCGCGCCCGCGCGGGCGAATCGCAATAGCAGGAGACGCGGGACTTGCCGGCAACGTTTCGGCGGCGCCCCGCTCGCTATCGCGTGTGCCCGCGAATATCTGGGCGTCCGTCCAGGGCGCGTGCGGATCGGAACCGTCCGCGTACCGTACATTTGACCGGTGACTTCGACGAATCCGAATAAACCATTGGGTTTGTCGAAGAACGGCGGGCTGTTCACCACGCGGGCGACTGCAGCGTCGTCGACGCGGCGCGCGCCGTGGTGTTGTTAACGCGGCGGCCGGCGGGGCCCGGTATTTCTCTCGGGGTCTCCGCCATTGGTGAAGTAACGGGCACTCGAAACTCTCGGATGGACGAAGAGAAGAAAATAGAAAAAAAAAAAAAAAATCACCGACCATTACCCGGCCGGTCCCGTCGAGCCCATTTTACTGTTGTGTCGTTAATTGGGTCGACCCGACAAACCGTTGGTGTTCCGGATTACGGTATCGCGCGCAGGTAGGCGTTGTGATTTTTCGAAACAGTCCCGTCTCGCCGCCCACTGCTCCCGTAAACGAAATCAAAAAGCTCAACGTCGGTCGGTAACCAATTCACATTGGCGTGCCGGTGCCGGGTGTTTTGTTAAAAGGGGCGCGCGCCCGCCGCTAAAAATCGGTTAGGTACGAGAAAAACCAGAATAACCAGCAGCGTAAACCGGTCAAAGGCCGTATACACAAGTGCGGACAATTGTGTCGGTCGGGTTGTACGATATGAGATGTTTACCCCCTTCCCCCCTCCCACATTCCCGCGGCTACGCCACCGAATCGGATTGTTATAAATTGAAATACGGATTCTGATTCCGCATTCTAACACCTTCGGGGTATCGGACCGTGGTCGTAAACAGAACAGTGGACAATCGTGTGTGACCGGCTTTTTAGATTTTCCAAGGTAAATCGAATGGAACGCAATACGTTTTCGTCGCGGCCAAAGGACCTTTTCACGTCCACAGAAGTTATAGGAGCGCATTTAACAGTTCCTGATTCATTAACACTGTACCAAAGACAAGTTTGCGTATTGCTGCCGTTGTGAATGTCCACAATAACTTCAACCGTGTCTTTAAATCGGAGTTTTTACTACAAGTACTTTTTCAATTTTTTTTTCTCGACTTTTTGCCGACGCGTATAGCAGCTTCTTTCCGTTTGTTCGCGGCATCGTAGATAATACCCAGGCTATCAACTATATGGACAAGTTTCATAGAATAGAATCGGCGAGGAATGCAGTATTGGAGGATGTGTGTGTGCGAGTACCCGCACAAAAAATCATTTCTCGATCATATTACATTTGATTGTGTACATTTTCGGCATTTTCTACTGTAACGGTGTCTATTTGAAATCGCATGTTCAATGACACGAAAATGTTCGTAGTACGGAGAAGCGAAAAATAATACCCACGTAAATGTAAAACGGCGATACACCACCGATTTTTTTTTACTTTGTAAATAGCCGAATGTGTAACAAAAACACGCGATATCAACCGTGGCTTAAAACAATCGGGTCGTGCCGCAACACATTTCTATAATAAAACCATTCGATTATTTATGATTCGCGATAAATATGTAAATACACACAAATCCGCGCCCTATTTAGTTATTAGACTTGATGCAAAACCGGGTCATACGTAAACTCTACCGAAACAACCTTTTTTCCGTAGCTAAACTGCGCCCGATTTTCTATCCATGTTACAAAGTTATAACAATGTAAAACGCGCCCCGTTGGTTGAGTTAATTTTCTGTCCAAACTCATTCGACACTTGCACAAATATTTAAATACTAAGTATACGGTTCTATACAATTGACACGTTCGGTAAAAATCATAGAATTTGTGAAAATACCCGCCCCGTTATCGTTAAATGTCCGGGGACCGGATTTGGGCTAGACAACCTAGGCCATGGCCTAGGGGCGGAACGATTTCATGGGGTGCCGCGGTCGGCAGAACTCTAGATTTTTGTTTCTGGACATAAATCCCATTTGTCGTTTGAGTTTACCATCTATTGGACGGAAAACGAAAATCTATTAAGTTGTTGGAAATATCGTTGTGACACAAAATATACTGCAGATATTAAATCATTTTTTTTTTTTTTTTTTTTTTATATTTTTCCTGTAATTTAGTCGTTCGCGGTAAAATAAAAAAAAATCCGCATTTCTGCGCGCGCGCGCCGCTTTTGATTTGTCCGAAAATATAAAAATAGTGACGATTATAAATAATGTAAATATCACTCGTTTAATTTGTTTATTATTTTTTTTTTTCCGGCGATAGTTTCGCCGCCGCCGTCTTCTATCTCACGTACGCAATTTACGTGCATGCATACGCATACGGCGATTGTTGTTTATCCCGGCGGCAGAACGCGGTTATTATTAAACGCTGTCCGAATAACGACACACCGGCGCGCCGAGTGCGGCCGGAAGAAGACGACGAGGAGGAGGAGACGGAACCGCGGCCAAGACGTCGCGAACGACATAGTCCGCGTTCTTTATTTTCCGTTTTGTTCGAAAACCGAACGGAATTTTTTTTTTTTATTAGATTCCCGAGTGGAACGGAGAACTAGCTTACGGTTTTACAAAAAAACGTGTTTGTTATGATTGGCTGCTATTATTGTTACTTTTTTCCGTGTACCGCTATTTCTGAAAGGATATCCGACCGGGAAGGTACTTTAGGATGGTCGTTTATCAATTTTTTTCCCCAGGAGCTTTTCCAACCAAAGTGTGTGTAAAACTCGGAAAAAACGCGGGAAAACCGGGACAATATTAACCAAAATATTATTAAAGAAAAAATAATATAATACACGTAAACATAATGCCTATTTAATAACTTCACCATAATATGACATATATATATATATTGTTGACAAAGCATCACTATCAACTGAATTCCGCTCAGAATCGTTTTTTCGGTTTTCTTCTTCACTGGTCGGTCAGTGTTTTCCTTTTTATTTGAAATAAAATTGCAATAATTTATTTTCCCAGTATTCAATGATTCCTATCATTCCGCCGGTATGATTTGGTATGTCTGTTGGTCCAATGAAATCTTTCATTTCACATCTACCAGGTATCAACGTACACTCGAGCAGTCGAGCAGATGGTTTGATGTTTGTTTCTCTCCGTGTTCGCAATTTTCACAGTCGGTCATTCTCCACCTATTTATGTATTTCTGTCTTTGTGGCTGCACCGACACATTGTCCGATTCCATAAAGAAATACCAAAATTATGGTTTTGTTCGAATCAGACGATGCGCCCGGTGTCGACAACAGTTAATCGTAATAAAATCCGAAAATGCCCTAACAAAATCCAGCGATTTCGGTTGAATTTATTGGCATATATTTTTTTCGGAATCTGACAATGTGCCGGTGTGGCCACAAAGATATCGCCGGCATGTTTGTTCGTGGACTTCCGAAGTTCACGGGTCTTAGATAATACCCAAAATGCCCTGGCAAAATCTGGCGAAATATTGATACCGGGGTCGTGCGGGCGGGCGGTCCTAAGCATAATATGCCGGTACCAACTCGATGGACACGATAAACGCTGCTAATAAATCGTGTTCTGTTCAACGTCTATGTACATAAAATCGTTTTCGCATTTATATGCGAAAACGGAAATTTTCGTTACTGGTCGGCTCCGAAACTACTTATTCAATCGTCGCGCAGTTGTTTTTTTTTTTTTTTTCTGAAATTAAAGAGGACATCGCAGAGTAGGTTTTAAGCATACATTTAGCCCGATAAAGTTGGTAAATAATCATTTATTAATTGAATTAAACGTGCAAATTGTATACGTTAGTGTAACGCGGACAAAACGCAATAAAAAAAACAACTGTGCTGTACTGGGTCGCTAATCTATGGTTTCTTTCCGATATTATAATTTCCCATAAATATGTTCCGTCTTCGTTATCTATGTCACTATTGCACGGTTCACGACGTCCGCGGTAGATTACGACGTATTACGTATTTTTGTTTGTCGCTGTGAACAGCCGCGTTTTTTTTTTTTTCTTGTTCCCGGTTATCGCATAATGCCCACGAAGAAGAAAGCAAACATCGACCGTTCCATAAATAGTGCCAAGAAGATGCGCTTATCTAAGGGGCAATCATTTACAAACGCACGATCAAAATGTAGTCGACGGTGAAAATAACGGCGACGGCAAAAATAATAACGACAACGACGACGAAAACAATAATAACATGTCCGCCTTTAATCGTAATAAATCGATTGATTTATGGAAACGATTCGCACGTTTCGATAGGAAATACGAATTTAAAGTATTTTAACTATTTCGATGTCCGGGGTAATTTCTGAAAATATTCATAAAAACGTGTTTTTTTTTTTTTTTTTTAAATGATACAGTAAATCGCGGTGAAGGTTTAAAGCTATTGAAAACATCGGTCGGTCCAATAGAAGTAATAGACGAACTAACCTGCGGTAATTCGGATTTTGGGTGCGATGCGAACAAAAAAAATGTATTATTTATTTTCCGTTGCTTAGCGGCCATATAGCTAGTTTAAATAAATTTGAAAATAATATTAAAAAACATGCATTTTTAAACATTTAAGTTAAAGAGTTAAGAGTACGGAGATTGAAACAAGAAATCTCGTGGGGGGGGGGAATCGTTTCCAGTACACATTTATTTGGCACGGTCAACGCCGGGCGGGACAGCAAGTGTATATATATATATATATATATATAACTTTTTTTTGATAATTATTAAAAAGCCTTGCCTTACTGTTCAGAGAAAAAAAAAATTAAATTATAGAATTTATATTTTGTAAGCATAAAAATGGGGAAGGTTTTTACACGATACAAATTGTACGTATAGAATTTAAAAATAGAAAAAAAAAATA